TTTTCAACAACTTAGATTGCACTTTATCTTTGTAAAGTCTAAGTTGAATTTTTTTTAAAATTTTACATAACAAAAAATAGACATTATAGAAGATTGCCAATTTGGTTACATATAAAAAGGAACTCCACCTATGTAACGTACTTTATAAAATTGAAATCAGATGATTTGATCACCCTTAGAAATTTTTTAAAATTACTTATAAACAATTTTTTGGCTTATAAACAAGTAAAACGGTAACTATTAATTTAAATTAAATTCATAAAACAAAATTAAAAAAAACGATAAGGCGCTGCTTTTAAAAGAAAAAAAGTTGAATTACGAGTAGTGGTTCCTGAGATACAATCGGTCAAAGTTGACCGGCATTTGCTACGAAGTTAAAGTATAAACAATAATATGGTAATCTTTAAACCATTACCTTTTTAAATAATTGATGGATTCGACCGTTACTTGATGGAAATTCATTTTATGTAACAATAAAACACTGAAAACTTTGTTTTCAAACTTCCACAAAATTTATTTTAAATATTATCACTACAGCGGTTTCGGCTGATTGCCTTTCTCAAGTGATCTATTTTGGCTTGGGTTTACAAATTTATAGTCCCTAATGAAATAGGTTGAGAAGGGAGAACTGTTTGTCTCAAGTTGGTCATTCAGAATTATATCTGTGTTTTTTAATTTGTTGATTTCCATAGATTCTAACAAAGATAGCTTAAGGCCTTTATTTTGAATGTGAAGAATTTTAAATTTGTCATTAAAAGAATGATTATGATCTAGAAGGTGAAGTGCGTATGTCGAATCTGTTTTTCTATTCTTGAATACTCGATTACATATACAGGCAAAATAACAACAAAAATTGCCAAACACATAAAAAGGAAAGGAATAACACCAGCTTTCCGAACAAATAACAACCTAGGCAAATATATTAAAAATAACAAGAGCCAAAATAAAAAACACTTAAATAGTGGTGTATACAAACTCCAATGTGGCGACTGCCCAAAAACTTACATCGTTCAAACTGGTAGAAACTTTGATAAAGGAATAGCAGAACATAAAAGGCTTTCAAGAATAGAAAAACAGATTCGACATACCACTTCACCTTCTAGATCATAATCATTCTTTTAATGACAAATTTAAAATTCTTCACATTCAAAATAAAGGCCTTAAGCTATCTTTGTTAGAATCTATGGAAATCAA